CCTACCCACAAAAAAAGGAGGGGGAGCCAGGATTCCGCGCGACGACCGAGCCTGGATTAAAAAACTGGGTGAGTCGGTGTGCGAATCACCCTCTCGCACCCTCGAGTGCCGTGAGGGGGAAATGTGTTGTGTAACGGTTGCTAGGCAAAGAAATTCGCGAAATAATTTTGCTGAAAATTTTGTGTTAACGGTTACATAGTAACGGTTGCTAGGCAAAGAATCGCAAAATAATCAACAATTTTACTGAAATTTTTTTTTTAGCGGTTACATAGTAACGGTTGCTAGGCAAAGAAATTCGCGAAATTTTGCTAAAAATTTAGTGTTAACGGTTACATAGTAACGGTTGCTAGGCAAAGAATCGCAAAATAGTTTTGCTGGAAATTTAGTGTTAGCGGTTACATAGTAACGGTTGCTAGGCGAAGAATCGCAAAATAGTTTTGCTGGAAATTTTGTGTTAGCGGTTACATAGTAACGGTTGCTAGGCAAAGAATCGCAAAATAAACAATTTTATTGAAAATTTTGTGGTAACGGTTACATAGTAACGGTTGCTATGCAAAGAATCGCAAAATAATCAACAATTTTACTGAAAATTTTGTGTTAGCGGTTACATAGTAACGGTTGCTAGGCAAAGAAATTCGCGAAATTTTGCTAAAAATTTTGTGTTAACGGTTACATAGTAACGGTTGCTAGGCAAAGAATCGCAAAATAGTTTTGCTAAACAATAGTAACGGTTGCTAGGCAAAGATCGCAAAATAAACAATTTTACTGAAAATTTTGTGGTAACGGTTGCTAGGCAAAGAATTGTGTTAGCGGTTAACGGTTACATAGTAACGGTTGCTAGGCAAAAATAATGCTAGGCTTGGCAACGGTTTAAACCGTATTTTTCGTTGCCATAGCAACCCCTTTACCGCTATCTCTGTCAGTTCCTTTCTTTTCTTTTTCCTCTCACCCCTCTTCTCTGTGCTCCCTTCATTTCTTCCTCACACATCCCCGGAGACTCGCACACCGACCCCCCGTAATACACCCAGTTTTTTAACGATAGAGACTGAGGGAGCGTACTTGGGGTTCCAAATTCGAACGGATATGATACCGTGCATCTGTCGTTCCACAACGTTTTACGTTTTGTGTCCGGAGGTATGAGTCGAAATCGGCACCCTTTGGGTATGGGTAGACCATAATGCTACGAATTGCGCCAGCACAGGCCACATCGACTGTGGTTTTTTTCGGTCTTATGACTTGTTAGTTTGTTATATCTAAATATTTACTTCATGTTTTTTAACTTCAAGTAAATACCACCACATCAACAACATTACTGTTTTTTGTCCTGAGGTATGATTCGAACTCGGTACCCTTTTGGTACGAAGCCACCACTCTACCAACCACGCCAGCACAGGCCACATCGACTCCGGTTTGTTTTGGGTTTATGACTTGTTAGTTTGTTATATCTAAATATTTACTTTATATTATTCAACATAAGGTAAATATCACTACGTCAACAACACTAGTGTTTTTTTTTCTTATGATATGATTCGAACTCGGTATTCTTTTGGTACGAAGCCACCACTCTACCAATTACGCCAGCACAGGCCACATCGGCTCCGCTTTTTTTCGGTCTTCTGACTTGTTAGTTTGTTATATCTAAATATTAACTTTATGTTATTCAACAATAAGTAAATACCACAACGTGAACAACACTACTGTTTTTTGTCCTGATGTATGATTCGAACTCGGTACCCTTTTGGTATGAAGCCACCACTCTACCAACTACGCCAGCACGCCAGCATGTGGTCTAAGGCTCTGCTTTTTTCGGCCTTATTACTTGTTAGTTTGCTATATCTAAATATTAACTTTATGTTATTCAACAATAAGTAAATACTACAACGTGAACAACACTACATTTTTTTGTCCTGCGGTGTTAAGGCGCAAAGCTTAAAAATTACTTCAACGTCTAACTGAGCCCTAAACTTATACTGAATAAAAATTATTAAAAATTGAAATTAACAATATTAGCCCCGCCCGTAAGAGGCCTTATTACTTGTTAGTTTGCTATATCTAAATATTAACTTTATATTATTCAACAATAAGTAAATACCACAACGTGAACAACACAACATTTTTTTGTCCTGCGGTGTTAAGGCGCAAAGCTTAAAAATTACTTCAACGTCTAACTGAGCCCTAAACTTATACTGAATAAAAATTATTAAAAATTGAAATTAACAATATTAGCCCCGCCCGTAAGAGGCGGGTTACATTAATTTATAAATCTAAGGGGGATGATTATTAGGCTTATTTCAAGTCATTTGGCAGACACATAAAAAAACTATCGACACATAAATAACATCAAAATTAAAAATATCTTAAGTTACTAATGCATTTTGCACTTGATGTGTGAAATGAGATACAGACAGTCGTCTGCATCGCCAGGCGACAGGCTATCGTACCAGAATACGAGACGATACGATACCCTTACAAAAAATAGTTCAGATTACCACTATTAGAAATCCTTAACATGAGGTATGATTCGAACTCGGTACCCTTTCGGTACAAAGCCATCACTCTACCAATCATGCCATCACAGGCCACATCGACTCTATATTTTTCTTATATTATATATAAATTTCTTATATTTTATATAAAGACTTTAATTTTAAATATAAAATTTTATTATGTTATTAAAAATCAATTTTGTACAACTTATTTATATAAATTAAATTAGTGGTTCAGTCTTACAGCCACTTTAAATTTACCTAATAATACATGCATACTGTTCGTACATTCTTGATATGATAATAATTATTCGTATATAATAAAACTTTTAAAACAAAGCCTCTAAATTAAAATATTTTTTTATATATATTAAATTTAAATATCTTGATATTCATCAGCATAATAAGGTTCTACATGACCTGAAGAAAAAAATAAAACATATTAAGGATAAATAGTATATAGTATATGTACTTGTATATCATAAACTTGAATAAATTTAGAACATTTAAAAAAATTAAATGATTATATTTATAGGAGGTAAAAATTCATGAAACTATGTAATATTAATAATCTATATAATAATGTTTTACGTGAAGACAAGTGTTGTAATAAAAAATCGCTATTTTCTATGATTCCAGGCCATATCAATAGGTATCAAACCCAAAATGGGGACTAGCAGTCCATGAAGTTGTATAAGGTCTACGGTCAAACGCCATATTGTTTGGGCCGCGAGATGCACTTTTTGGCCACCATGAGAAGGCGCGATGTTTTCACTGATAGTCCATGGCATGGTTTTTACTCAATTCAAACATGTCAAAAAATCTACAATTTTTATTCATTTCAATCTGGTTAAAAAATCAAAGTGTATAGTCTACGGGTATTTACTCAATTCAAACATGTTGAAAAATCAAAGTGTGTTGCCAATTCATGGTCTTTCACTTAATTCAAACATGTCAAAACATCTACATTTTTCACTTAATTCCATCTTATTGAAAAATCAAAGTTTACAGTCTTAGTGACTACAATGCAATTATGTGGGAAGTATCAACGAATAAAAATATTGGAAGACATTTAAATCTAATTAAGACCAATGAGTGGAAAATTAAATCTTTTGATGGAAGTGCCAAGGAAATAGCATTGAATTGCAAACCTATTATTTTAGAATACGCCAAGGAGCACTGATTGAGAGCGTAACCAAGGCTTGTGGTGTCAGAATGAATCGTAAGCATGCCATGAATCAAAGGCAATCTGCGCTCTGGAGCAATAAATAAATCAGCTTTCTTCATGAAGAATGTCATAGGAAAAAAAGAATCGCTCAGCGAGGCTATCGTCTTCCAAACTCTAGTAATGGAATACAAACAGGCATGTGAGCAACTAAATAAAGCTATCCAAGATAGTATAAATAGATGCTGAATAAAATTGCTGGACGATGTCGAAGAAAACCCATGAGGAAGGCCTCAAAGGCTCTACACGACAACCTGATTTATACTACCAAGTAACACATGTTGACCTAAATAGTATTCCACCTATAACACTGCAAGAATTGATGGAAGCTTGCCATTAGGTTGGAAATTAAAGCACCGGGATCAGATGGAATTTTCAAAATTTCTTTAAAAGCATCAATATTGACATCTCCGACAATATTTCTTAGTGCCTATAATGCTTGTCTAAAAGAAGGAGGTTTTCCACGAAAATGGATACAGCAATGATTAGTGCTTCTTTCCAAAGGAAGAAAACAACCAGATAAAACATCATTGTACCGTTCGATATGCAAGCTGGATACAGCGGGTAAAATTTTCAAAAGTTGATCCACTATTAGCCATTAGACAATCAGTATGGATTTCATAAAGGTTTTAGTTGGTATTATACCGGTATTGAAACCGACATAACCAGAGAAAGAAAAACAGTCTGGAGTGCATAAATGCATTTCCTTTGATATACATAAGTAACAAAAACACATACATACATCAATTTTTTATAAGGTATGTCAACATGTTTAGAAACCTCTTAAACATAAAAAAATGCAGAAATTTTCATTTTTGATTTTTGGGCGATTACAATAACTTACACTATGGAAAGTTAAAAATTCTAGTCAAAATATAGTTATTATAATTAGCGATTAATTAGCTTTCTCAAAAAATTGTAAAGCACTATCGGATTTCATGTTAGGCAGTTTTGTGCAAACATTAATAATAATTTTGTGCATTTGATCATGAAAATATAATAACTATTTGATATATGGTGACTTTTAAAAGCATTAATCACTCTTAGCCCAGAGCGATTGAGATATTTTATTTTTAAATGTAAATATTCCTGTTAGCTGCAGTAGTAATTACAATTTGAAAAAAAAAAACAATGCTTAATTTTAAATTTCAAAATTATAATAGATTACTGTCTATATAGAATACAAAAATATTAAATAAAAATTAGCGAATTCAAGTACAGTAAAGTTAATCATAGGATAAGTCGCATTATAAATTTTTGGTACATATTTTTTCATATACTTCCCCAGATTTCCATAACTGTACTATGTCCATACCAATATGGATCTTGTCTAACAAGGGTAGTTCAACATTTACATATTCTTCTAAACACTCTAATTTAATGACCAAACTACCAGATTGATTCACTTCCTTACTTCCTATATACTCAAATTCAACAAATCGTTTTTGATTTAATTCTTGCAATGCTTTCGAAAACTGCATACCAAAATCTTCAGTATCTTCTCCCAAGTGAATCACAACATAATTTGACGAAAAAGGAATACTTCTGTTGCAGTCTGAACAGGATACCTTTTCCTGATCTGAATAAAACATAAATCAGAGAAGTTATAAATATGAAACAAACAGTAAATAGTAACAGTAAAAGTAAAAGTAAAAAGTACATAACTAATACATTAGATATATATATATATATATATATATATATATATATATATTTTATGATATGAGTGAAACGAATATTAAATGTTAAATATGAACTATACAACACTCAGATTTTTAACATACACTTTATTTGGTAATTACAGACGTTTCGAGACCATGGTATGCCTTCTTCAGTGTAATTTTATATTCCATGAAAAAGACTTATTTAAACGAAGCATGGCAGAATCAATGTTAATAGTTCGGACTAACAATAGCGTAAATCTGAGAACCGACACAAAAACTTTACACGACTCTTATATAAACATCATTAATAATTTATATTTTTTTTTTCATTTATCTTGTTCTCTTCAATAAATTAATCTGTTTTCACATTTTTTGATTTTATTATAATAATTTATTTTATTATAATAATACCCATCCTGTTTCTTCATCTCGATACTTAAGATTTGTTTAAAATATTTCACATGTTTTAATACTGTGTCAAGCTTTGCAAGTGATAGTTCGTGTTTTTTGTATTTTCAAAAATTAAACGTAATTTAAATAAAATATTAAAGAATGTGTAGTACATAAGTAACTATTTTTGAAATTACACTGAAGATGAGGCATACCATGGTCTCGATATCTGTAATTACCAAATAAACTGTATGTTAAAAATCTGAGTGTTGTATTGTTCGTATTTAAGGGGGGCGATACATGTAATCGCCTTAATTTTTACCATTTTTTGAGGACTTTTTAAACTGGGAAGAAATGATTGAATCTTTTTGAACTTTTTTAGGGTTATTTATTATATATTAAAATACACAAAAAAAAATTTTTTTTAATTTTTTTTTTAAATGGCTGCCGTAAAAATAAATCTGCCAAGACCCTCTCGGAAAACGCCATCAATTTGCGGGCGTTCTCACTTTTCGTACGGTGATCTGAATTTAAAAAAATTAGTTTGTACGTGTTCATAAAACATATATCTTCTAGTTAAACCAAAAAAAAATTAAAAAAGTCACAAAATCGTAAATTGGCACACCTTAGAAAAAAAAGTTCGATTTTTCACCTTTTTTTCAATGGTTTTTTTTTTGGTAAAAGGGTTAATTTTTGAAAATTTTTTGGAATGTTTGAGGTTTAACTAGAAGCTATTACTGTAAAGTATATGTGTGCAAAATTTCATTGGAATCGGTTGAGAACTTTTTGAGTTATCCCGCCCGCAAATTTCAAAAATGTCGTTTTGAGAAAAACGCGTTTTAAAGTTTTGACACAGAAACAGATAAGAGTACAATAGCACTCAAGCGTCGAGTTGAGGCGTGGCACTTAAATGAGTTTTTATTGTATAAATATTGATAATTTTGTTTTGAATATTTACAGGCATATTTTTGAGATGTTATTGTAACGATTTATGCAAAAAAAACAAACGATTTTTTTTTTCTTGTTACATGTATCGCCCCCCTTAACATTTAATATATATATATATATATATATATATATATATATATATATATATATATATCTTGATAATTTTTTGTTCGACTTTGAATATATACGAGGTCTGTTCAAAAAGTACCCGGAATTTTCGTTTTTTCAAAAAAATATTTATTTATTCGTCTACATTAATGTGGTCCCCTTCAAAGTAGTCCCCCCCAGATATAATACACTTATGCCAGCGTTTTTTCCAATTTTCGAAGCACCCTTGATATTCACTTTTTGATATGTCCTTGAGCACTCTCAGCGATTTTCTTCAATCGAGGAAAACCGCCGTCCTTTCATGGGTCTCTTCAACTTTGGGAATAGGAAAAAGTCACACGGAGCCATATCTGGTGAATTTTTGCACTTTGCAACACTTTATTTCATTTTTTACGCAAAATTTAATACAAATTCTTTGACTTTTCAATTCTTCCATTGTAAAAATCGCCGAGCTCAGAAAAACACGTCGAACCTTAGCGACTACCACAGACAAAGTAAACAGTGAATATAGCTGAAAATTTCATCATACTTTAGGGGCATGTATACCAACACAATAAAAAAAAAATTTTGACAATCAGACACTCCAGACCCGCGAAATTTAATTATTAGTAATTCCGGGTACTTTTTGAACAGACCTCGTATATATATATATATTTTATTGATATTTCCTGTTTTTTTTTTAATAAATTGTTAAGAGTTTCTTTTCCGAACAATTAATCCAATAAATAAAAAACAATAAGCCTTTTTTGTAGATGTTTAATTACGACGTTTCGGAAGTAGGTACTAGGTATCATTAAGTTCATCTGTCAAGAACAATATTTAAATATAGAATAACGATATTAATGATGATGATTACAGAATATTATTTTTTTTTATAAAGGAAAGGATTATAAACTTTTTTTAAAAGAATGAAGCATGAAAAAAGAAAAATATGAGAAGCAAAAACTATTTATCTACAATATTGATTTATATATCCATATCACTATTTTTTATATGTATGTAGCACTAATGAAAAAATTACTGAACTCAAAATATTACTTTATGGTTTGCACATTCGTGAATTACGAAAAAGTAATTTATATATTGAAGTATTTTTGCAGCCCAATTGTCGTATTAAAAGACAAAGCTGCAAAAATACTTCAAATATGTATCAACGTCGACAAAACTATCAATGTATATATATTAGGTTAGTTTATAGAAATAAGTTCTTACCACATGGATTTTTTAATTTAAATGTACTATGTATATGCTCTGGTAGCATTTCTTCAAACCCAAATGATATTACTCCACAATCTTCACACTCAGATTCCACAAACTCTAAATCAACATTGGCAGTTTTCTGATAATCAATTAGCCTGCAATTTTGACTCTTATTACAGTTGGTATTCCAGATTAATAATTTATTAATTACATGATATTTTATTCAATTATTTAGAAACCAAAATAACTCATATTACTAATCAAAATGACAAATATTTATAAAAGACATGAATCAACAAATAGATCTACAGTAATTAACAGTATTAAGCTTAAGCAACGCGAAAGAAACAATTTCAGACACATTTAAACCATTGATTCAAACAAAATGAGCATGAGCTCAACTATTATTAACTTCCCGTAGGGCAAGTTATAGTAATCGCAAAAAAATCAAAAATGAAAATTTTTATATATCTTTACGTTTCAAAGGTTTTTGAACATTTTGGCATACCTTAGAAAAAATGGATGTATGTGTGTGTGTGTGTATGTATGTATGTACGTGTGTGTATGTATGTGCGGATACAAATTTTCGTCGACGATTTCGGGAACACGGATCAACCGATTTGAATAGTTCAAAAAACATTCGATTCGTATTGATAAGGAGACGTGCTGATTAGTTTTTGGCGAAGGCAGGTCTAGCCGTTCCGAAGATACGGGGCAAAAAGTGCCGAAAACGGTAACTCAGTTTTTAAGAGAACGGAGCGTCCGATTTGAATAATTCAAAAAAATTTTCATGAAGGTAGGTCTAGCGGTTTCGGAGATATTGGAGGAAAAAGTAAAAAAATGAGCCATTTGGCGGTCAAAAATGATCATTAGACATATGCACATCAAATTATCAGATATTTTATAGAAATTTTAACAATAAGTATACATTTTGTTAAAATTCCTATGGGTTCCGTACCAATGCTTATGCGTTAGACAGCGACGCGGCGCTTACGCGCTTTATATTTTGTCCCTATGCAGTTAAAGCAGTACGATTGCTTTGAAAAAAAATTCAGATCTTCCACAATATGTCAAAATAAAGAAAAAAAATGTTTTTTTTTCAAAAAAAAAAATTAAAATTTTTTTTTTCTTAGAAAAAAAATTTTTTCAAAAAAAATAATTTTTTGTCCAATTTATAGTTTCTCAAAAATCTTATTTTTTCAAAGTAAATTTTTTCAAAAATGTTAATCGTACTGCTTTAAATGCATAGAGACAAAATATAAAGCGCGTAAGCGCCGCGTCGCTGTCTAACGGGCAAACATTGGTACGGAACTCATAGGAATGTAAACAAAATTTATACTTATTGTTAAAATCTCTATAAAATATCTGATAATTGATGTGCATATGTCTAATGATCATTTTTGACCGCCAAATGGCATTTTTTTTACTTTTTTCGTTATATCTCCGAAACCGCTAAACCTGCCCTTATAAAAATTTGACCAAATCTTCATCTTGTCAATACAAGTAAAATGTTTTTTGAGTTATTAAAATCGGACGCTCCGTTCTATTAAAAACTGAGGTACCGTTTTTGGCACTTTTTGCCCCATATCTTCGGAACGGCTAGACCTACCTCCGCCAAAAACTAATCAGCACGTCTCCTTATCAATACGGATCGAATGTTTTTTAAATTATTCAAATTGCTTCATCCGTGTTCCCGAAATCGTCGACGAAAATTTGTATCCGCACACACATACATACTAGGCACACACACACACACATTCATTTTTTCTAAGGTATGCCAAAATATTCAGAAACCTCTGAAACGTAAAGATATATAAAAATTTTCATTTTCGATTTTTTTGCGATTACTATAACTTACCCTACGGGAAGTTAATAAATATAATCAAAATAAAATTTAAATAAAGTAGTAAACAAAACCCAAAAATCCATATAGTACAATAAATATTATTAAATTTGTGCAGTTATATTACGTGATGGAAATAAGTATTCTCTTCTATTTAATAGATATAAAAGTTAAGACATATCCTTGGAAGTTTTGAAATTTTCGAGCCCTAATTCTAAATATATCTAAGTAACTCAACAAGTAGATCATACCTTTCATTGTGCCATGAATGTAATTTGTGAACTTCATACCAAATTTCATCTTGCATTATAAAATTGCATGGATGACAATAATATCTATGTGACACATCTACTAATGATAAATTATTTTTTATGAATGGAGCTCGTTAAATGAGATTTTATAGAAGTAGCATCATTGCAAACATCAATATCATGTTCACAAATAGTACATAAATATTTATTGCTATGCGTAATTCTGAAAATAATTAAACATATTGAAAACATATAAAACATATTTTATGGTAATAACAATATACACTTACCTAAAAAAAACTTTGTTGTATTTATTTTCTTTTTCTACTAGTTCCCATGAATTTAGAATGCATTCTTTAAATAAATTAGGTTCTTTATCTAAAGAACTCTTTGAACACATGTTTTGAATACTTGTGGTGATATCTGTGTTACCCACATTATCCGGAGTATGTGATAAATCTTGATTACTTGAATTATCTTTTATGTGAATGTTTTCTTCATTAACTATATTATTATCTAGTAAATTGTTATCATTATTAGTACCAAAAGAAGTTGTCTGTTCCGCACAGACAGGTTCAATTTTTGTTTTCTCACTTACATCACCCAGTTCCATAATAGTTTCTTCGCCGCTTGGATAATTAATTTCAGAAGTTTTCAAATCAAGTTTTGTTTGAAAATTGCTAGCTGATTGTGTCAACGGAGTACTTTTATGCTCAGTATTCGATTTTAAATCAGGGTCACAATCAAATATGTCAATTTTTGTACTACTAACCTTCGCACATGTTGGAATTTCCCAAAATTTGCATTTTGTTTCAAATAACCAAAGTGGATTTGATTTGATTTCTTGTGGTATTACTTTGAATGCTTTATTTATAATATTTTTTAAAAAATGACCACCAGTAGGAATTGCACTACATTTCTTTTGGCCTAATGCATTGACAGTAAGAAGGTTGCAAAAGTCAATATGAGCAGGTGATTCAAAATGTAAATTCATTTTATTTAATTGTGCTGGTATTACTTGATGGCAAGCCTTGCAATAAACAGTTTTATCAGTACAAGGAAATATAAAATCTCTATTAGAATAGATATTATAGTCAATGTCTTCTTTCAGGAACAAACTAATTAAATTGATAAAAGAATTTAACATATTCAGTTTGTCTTTCTTTGTTATTTCGTTTCTGTGTTTTACTCCTTTTAAATGTGTCCAAACTTGCTCTCTTTTTGGTATATGAACTCTACACAGAAGGCAATTAAAGTAAATATTTGTATTATATATAGCCAGACTATTCATGGGATGCAGTGCATTCATTTCCATTTCCAGTGCGTTTATCTCAATTGATAAATCAGAATTAACAACTGAAATTGTTAAAGTTACATTTATATGAAAAAAGACTGCAATAATGAAATATAAATTAAATTGTAATACTAGAAATGATCTATTACACAGATCCAAAAAATAAAAAAAGTTGTCTGTATTGTGTGTGCGACATATATTTTCTGCTGTTGAACACGAATACAGAGTCAAAACTGAAACGGATCTAGAATTTTCTCTACATGATAATTAAAAACCTATAATTTCGTATTCTGACCCATTTTTTCTTTAAAATGACATGGACAACAGATTTCTGCAATGCTTTTTTTAAATCTCTGTTGAGAATCCTGTTGTAGCATAATTTGCAAACATATTTTTAAAAAATATTATATAGATATGTTTTCAGATTGCCTAGAGGCAATGGGGAATAAATATGATTGGAAATTACTGCAGCAATTTGCAAACAGATAGTCAACAGAGATGAAAAAGCATTGCAGAAATTCATCTCATTAGCAAGAAAACTATAGAAATTTTAAGATTTTAATTATTATGTAAAAAAATTCCTAGGCCGGAGTTTTGTCGTTTTTCTTCAGTTTAACCCCCCATTTTAGATTCATGTTCAGCAGTAAAAAATATGAAACATATGTCGCACCTCCAATACAGACAACATTTTTTATTTTGTGATCCTGTGCCATCAATTATGTTAACATATCTTCAACAACAAACACACAATGTTCAAATATAAATAGTAATATATTACATCATTGCCAGAAGAGATTTTTTAAAAATATGTTTAGCATTGAGATTATAATCTCAATGCTATTAATTATGTTAACATAACTTCAACAACAAACACACAATGTTCAAATATAAATAGTTATATTTTGTTAACTAATTTCCCTAGAACTGAGATTATAATCTCAATGCTGAACATATTTTTAAAAATTTTTAACAATTGTAAGGCAACATTCGCTTAATAAAATACTCATATATATGTTTAAAAACCTATAGTTTTTTTGAATATTCTACAAATTGTTTAATCAAACATAGCATTTAAATTCCATTTGCTTATTTCAGATTTCTGTCTTTTCAAATTCGTTAATACTTTGGTTAGGTAAATTCATTGTTAATTTTAAAACCCTTCAAATATGAGAAATTATGTAAACAAAAACTTTGGCTATTTATTTTATAGTTCGATTTTTATACCCTTGATTGTGTTTATGACAAAAACAAATTTAAATTTATAGTTTTACTCATAGATAAAATAAGAGCATGCCCGGCCACACTTTGCTGTGGCTTTTATTAAAACCTACTGAATATATTTTATTTAATTTTTTCTATGCAGATATCTTTCAATTTAAAAACAATGTATATTTGCAATAAACTTGAATATTTTTTTAGAAAATAGTTCAAAAATATTTAATTCTATTATATATAATATCTTATTTTTTTTAATTTAATGGTAATAGTGATGACGAAAAGCAAAATGGTTAGGAGCGTAGCAGTGCCGCAGCTATACTATCGAGGCCAGTGGAAAACAATAATGAAATTAAAACAGTACTAAGCATATTGAATATATTAATTAATTGAAAAAGTTCACGTTTTAATAAACTTTTGTGGTAAAATCGCAAAAAAAAATGAGGGCGATTAAAAAATATTTACATTGTTAAGATACCAGAAGGAGAAAGTGAAACTATTTGAAAATAGTTTATATTTGCGGATTGAAAATTTTCTTGAAAAAATCCACATTTGGCAAAATTTTTTGAATTAGATTAATACATAATGATCGACTAATAATTGATTCATTATGTAATAACTAAGATATTAGAAAATAAATCTTTCTATCACATTTGTTTATGAAATATGCCACTCATTTTCATTACTAATTGAATAGAAATTATCAATTTTAAATATGTTCCAAAAAAATAAGACTACAGAAATCGTTTATACTGAACTGTAGTATAATAAAACAAATTACTTTAAAACATACCATTTTCTTCTTTTGTTTTGCAAACTTGATTGCATGCTGGTACAATGTTGAAATGTTCATGCATGTTTATATCAGCCAAAGATCCAAACAGTTTTATTTTGCATATTGGGCATTCTTTTTCAATAAAGTTTCTAAATATATAAATATGAACCTGTATTAAAACTAACAATCAATAAAATACAAATATTTCTATAACATTCAGATCTACTCACAAATTTTTATGAAATTGTGAATCTGCATGAGCCCTAAATGCTGGAGCTTCATAAAAAATCCGCTTACAAAACAGACAGCAAAAGATATCATTGATTTTCAAATTTAGAGAGGTGAATGTATTTGTATGTCGTTTTGATGAAGAATGATCCAATACATTGCAAAACTGTAAAAACTTATTGCACGTCAGGCAATAATAATGCTGATTATATATCCTAAAATATAAAAATTAGAAAACTGAACATTTCTCCTGTATGAAAAAAATTTAGACTATACCATCACAGCTATGGATATTAACAACATAACTTTGAAAGTAATGGAAGTAATTTGATCAAGTCAAGCTAAACTATTCTTAAGTAAGCGATCCACATCTCTTAAAAGCTTCTCAACATAAAATATGAAAAATAATTCACACTAAAAATTGGAAAGAATTACAAGGAATACAGAAAGTTCGAAGTGCATATTGAAATGATTGTAAGCTTTACAGTTAGCAAGTGTTATTGAGTAATGGTTAAATTAATAATCCATCTAGCATTCTTAAACTAAAGAAATATAAAAGATTCTCAACATAAAATATGCAAAATAATTCACACTGATTAAATTGAAGGAATGACAAGGAAGACAGAAAGTTCAAAGTGCATACTACGATAAATTTAAGCTTTACAGTTAGCAAGTGTTAGAAGGAAAAGGTTAAATTAAGATTCCATCTTGCATTCTTAAATTATAGAAAATAATAATCCATGTGATTTCATTAGAACTAGAATTTTCAGAACATTATAAACAAAAACTTTCTAGACAATCAAACAAATATCTATATTATATAACCATTTCCACATATAAATTATAAAGAATAACAAGACATGCTTACTGTAAAATAGTATCTCTGCTGGATTCATTATTAACCAAATTAATTTCCATTTTGGAATTAGTAGCAGTGTCATTGCAATCCTGTTGGGATTTTATCCCTTTTTCTATTTTCTCTTTTCTAATTTCTTGGATCAAATGTTTTTTATGGAATAAAGATAATTTATTCAAAATTCTTCTTGGATAGTTTTTTTCCAGAAGCTTTTTTTCTAAATAGCCTAGTTTCAATATATCTTGGTTATCTGATATATAATTGGAAAACTTACAAACATCTTTATCTTGCAATGTCAACTCATTAGTTTTCAACCTATTCCATTTTGCAATATCATTTAAAAGATCATTATACAATCTCGATGATCTATGACTGTCAAATAAAAAATGTCCATTTCCATGTAAAGTATCGAAAGGCAACACCAGGCTGCATGCCGAACAATAGATTTCAGTCATAGAATGTGGCCAAGTAATGTATTTATTTCTATAATCACTTCTTTGATTTGTCCAGAATTTAGAAAAGACATTCAAAGATGCAATTTTAAAATGATCTGATATATTTGCCAGATGTCTTTGTGTTTTAATATGATCAAATAGACTTTGCTCATTTGGAGATTCTTGTCTGCAAATCAAACATGTATAACCAAAATTGAAGTTTTTTATTATTGCTGACCCATTGAAATAATGCAAATTGGTTAGATTAAAATATTCCTTCTCAGTAAAGCTTGGATATTCTTGCTTAATTTGTTGAAGAGCTAAAAAAAAATATTGTGATAAAGAATAAATTATAAAGAATGTGCTTCATTACAATAAGTAAGGTTAGTGAGACCCGACAATATGAACATGAACATAACATATGAACATAACAATAACAAAGCTGTAATATAGCAAGGAACAAATTATGATAAATTTAAAACATCAACTTATTTCATCTTAGAACAATAGAATTTATTTCGATTGATTAAATAAACTTAAAATATATGCATTTTGAGATATATGTTATTATACACTTACTAGACTTACTACATTCTAAACCATTCACTGAACTGGTATTGGATATACTTAAATTGGTAAAATCATTCAATTCAGCTGTAACATCTTTACACCAAATCTGCTCAAGTGATTTCAATTTCTCAGAAAACTGTTGTAAGTTATGCCGCAATTCATTATTGAAAATAGTTTTGTCAGCGTTATACTTATCATGAAATAATGTAATGGTGTTATCCAGATTCCGAATATCCTGAATAAGCTTTGTTGTTATATCCATGCTGCAAAGGAAAAAATATCAACTTATATTCAATGTGCAAATAACATTTTAAATGTAACAGAAAAAATATACTTCAGTAATTATGAGTTTCTAATACTTCTATTCGATACAAAAATATACTACAATATTCTATTCGACAACATAAAAAAAATTAGTTTATTAATTAGCATTATCTCTTTCTTATCTTCAACTGTTTTGGAATATCTTTTGTTAATGTTTATTATTATAATAACTTCACTGTTCTGACATGACAAATGAGCCACGTTCACTCCGATAAAAGTTTGCTTCTATTCATCTATAGTTTTGAGCTTTTATGCTTATTTATCTATGGTTTTGAGTTATAAATAAATAAACATTTCTATGCTAGGTATTTTGATTTCTGAAAATATTTTTATTTCTGAAATATTTATATTCTATGGTTTTGAGAAGAGTAGGTATAAAATGAGTATAAAAATTTGCAAATATAACCCAGTAAACACCGAGCGGCGGTAGTAATCTGAAATCCACATTGATTACATTGTAATTGTATATATGGGTGTCATAGCGCTGAAGGCACGCTTGTAGATTTCGGGTTGCTGCCGACGCTCACATCACACGGTGTTTACTGAGAATAAATAGACGCATACGTAGATAAATAAAAATAAACATGTACAAAAAATAAAATAAAATCACTTGATAAAAATTTTCATTCGTGCTCCTGTCCATCTAGAGCCAGCGATGTCGGCCTTATGACAATAATAAGTTGAAAAGGGTAGAAGTTATTCTAGTAGATTAAACCGGCAGTATGTTTGTTGATTTATATTTCGATTTGACTGTATATTTATTCCCAGTAAACACCGAGCGACACCGAGCGGCGGTAGCAATCTGAAATCCACATTGATTCATGCATGTCACTGCTATGGAACTGCTATAATAATAAGAAATTACATCAATTAACATATCACTATACCTCCAATTAGAAAACCGGATGGGCACGCAGTGATTTAGAAAAAGCAGAATATTTCTCGACTTACTTCAAGGAAGTTTTTACGCCAAATTCTTCAAAATCCACGGAACAAGAAGAAACATTTATTTTTGATTCTTTGAAAGAAGTTCAGTCAAATTTTTCATCAAACACCATAATCAAAGTTCCAGAAATTACAAATGAAATCCAAAGAGCAAAATCTGCAAAAGCACCTGGCGTTGACAACGTTAATATTAACATACTTAAAGAACTTCCCTACAAAGCCTACCGTTTCATAACAATCCTGTTTAACGGTATAATGAGACCTAAATCATATCCCGATCAATGGAAAATTGCTAAAATCATAATTATTCCGAAACCTGGTAAAAATCCGAATGAAGTCCGAAGTTACAGACCAATTAGTTTACTTCCAACGTTATCCAAAATATTTGAGAAGGTCCTAACTAGTAAAATAAAACCCTTTATTTATGATAGCAACGTTATCCCTGAGCATCAATTTGGATTTAAAAAAAAACATGGCACACCAGAGCAAATTCATAGAATTGTCGACAATATAAACAAGGCTTACCAAAACAAGAACTACTGTTCAGCTGTTTTCCTCGATATTAGTCAGGCATTTGATAAGGTAGGACTTCGTTAGTGTAAGGGATGAAACATCCTCATTACATCCTGTCAGATCGGGAGTGCCTCAAGGTAGGGTTATTGTCATTGGGCCACTATTATACCTCATATACACTGCGGACCTACCACAGAAAGATGACATTTTGACAGCGACAAATGCAGACGACACAGGCATACTGGCAACACATGAAGATCCCATAATCACATAAAAAATGCTGCAAGATCATCTTGACGTGATACAAAAATGGTTAAGCTTGTGGAGAATAGAAGTTAACAGCAGCAAGTCAAAACACATCACTTTCACTCTTTGGAAAGGGACTTGTCCTGCAGTGAGAAATTATGGATCAAACAGATACAGTCAAATATCTAGGTTTACACCTGCATTAGAGACTAACCTCTAGAAAGAACACATTAAGAAAAAGAGGAAGCAGCTTGAAGAAACCAGAAGAAGATATTATTGGCTCCTCGGACGAAAATCAAAACTTTACACGCATAATAAAATTTACTTCTATACCGCCACCATTAAACCAATTTGGACATACGGCATACAGCTATGGAGATCAACTTCCAACTCAAATGCTTTAATAATTCAAAGATTTCAAAACAAGTTATTAAAAGAAATTTTGAAAGCACCAAAGTATGTTCCAAACTGGTTAATACACAAAGACACAGGCACTAGCACAGTTAAGGATGAAATAATCGCTTACTCACACAAATATAGAAATCGCCTAGCTGATCACCCGAACTTGCTTGCCAGAAAAATTCAGAACAACTCTACCAGGGACCGATTGAAAAGAAAATTTCTTCTGCACTAATCAACAATAGATAAGACCTTCGACAAATCACTGGCAATGGTCAGATGATTTGTATTTTGCCAACGCCTTCAGTTTTATGTCAAATTTTTTGTCAAATATTTTAACCTTTTGTCCGTTTCAGGACAGTTGTAAAAATTATTAAAATAATAATAACAATAAAAAAAAGCGCCATTAATTTGAATGCCAAAAGCAGCGCCATCACGTCTGAGCGGAGGATCCTTTAAGTATCCCTTCTGAACGTGAAAATCAGGAGAGAGAAACGCATAGATAAGTAAAGGCATTATTTTAATTATCTTAAATTTAATGATAAAAGAAATAATTTTTATAAGCCTTGATTAATATAATATCTATTATAATTAAAATATCTCTATCTTTATATAACTCTTCAGTCTTCTTTGTCTTCAATTTCCTTATAATATTTCTTTATATTTCTTTTAAATTTATCGTCATCATTGGTCATCTTAATATCGTTTGGCAATTCATGATTTACTTGATATCAAAAAAAGTCTTTCTATTGATAGATGTAATTTCTTGTGATATAATAAATTAAAAGGTTTTATGGAGTGGGTAGTAGATTACATAAATGATGCTGCTGATAGTTATGCTGCCATTTATGATTTTTTTCAAAGTAATGGTGTTAGAGATTACAAAGTTCAATGCAATTATTGTGGTGTACCGTATGCTACTGACGAATATGTACATTCGTCACAGAATGGTATCTAAAATTTACTGAAAAACCACACAGAAAACTGTGGTAATCAGACTCTGCACCGAACACTAAGCTACCTTCATGTTCATCATGTATATCAACAATGTATTGCAAAATCCTTTTAACATTAGTACGCACTTCTCCTGCGTTATAATTTGCCAACTCATCAGGTCTAAAAATTCACCTGGTGCTCTTATTGGGTTAATTTCGTAAAAAACTGGTGCTTCATATTCATCACGTGGAGAGAAATATGCCCTATCATCAAAATGCCTATATTCCTCTCCAAATCAAAATATTTTATGCTCTTTCCAGTCCAGATCCTCACCTTCCTGCAATTCTTGTAGAAGATTTTCTTCTACCTGCTGCTTCTCTTCTGCACTATGCCGATTGGCACAACTCTTCTATTAAATTAAATGAGCTAGTTGCAACTATTATCTTAGAATCTCTTGTTTTGTCTAAACTATTTGCTATCCTATTTTTTATTGATTCAAAGAGTTTGTCTGAACAACAATCTTTAGCAAACTTTGAAATACTCAAGACCAAATCAACTTTTTCACCATCGCCAGCACTTTGAGTATCCTTGCTGCTCTCCTGATCTACAATCAAATTTGAAATTGCATTTTCCATTGCAACAAAAGCAATCCTATCTTTAAAAGAACCGACAACATTTATTTTATTTTGGTTAAATACACTAGATTTCCAAAGACTGCTAATAGCTGACCTTACTTCATTCCTGTTCTCCAAGTCATAATCTTTAAAAACTACAACAAATGAAAGCGATGAAAAATTGCATATCCTCTAGGGGAAAGCATATTCTCCACATCAGCTCTTGAACATCCATCCATAGATAAAAGAAGAGTATATGCATCCATCGCTCAAATACTGGATAACATACTTAGTTTTGTGAAAAAAAACGTGCTCTACTAAGCAACTAAGAAGACGATAGATCACACCCCTGTGCTTTATGCCTTTATGCCTTTATGCTTATTTATCTAGGCCCCTGTCTTTCTTATTCGGTAGCCCGAGTAGTTAAGGTAGCAGCAAGCATGCTCTTCTTTTATCTATGGCAACAACTTTATAGCTACATTGCAATTGAGATAATTTTGCAATAGCAGAAACTAGCAACTTTTTACGCCCTTATTTTCCTATTTTTTCAGAAGACAGAAGATTATAAAAGTGTTCCACTTCCTTACTTCACTTGAAATCAACAGCCTTATTAAAATTATCTTCTACTTCTGTATTTTCTTTGAGGTCATCTGATTTTTCATCAATCCAGCAACTGAATACTTGATGGTCATCCTTGCAAGTTTGTCGTTGGCAGCCAATTCCCAATTCTCATTACTCGTGCCTTTATGACATAAATCAAGCTTAAAAGACTCCAATATCTTGTTGAATAGTTACCTAATTTCACTCTTCACACATTCAATACATGTTATTTCATAGATAGCAAATGGATCCAATATATCTAAACTGGCCAACTCTTTCACCAATCTAGCAGGATTTAACTCTATACTTGACCAACAAGATTCATCACGAAACGCATTATACATAAGAGGTCTGATTGCTCAACGGTTAGACCCTCTACTGTTACAAGGTGAGCCTTGACCTATTTCTCAACAGCTGAAGATTTATCACCTTTAACAACATCCTTTAGCTTACTCATTGCTACGCTAGAGATAATCTCTTTATTAACTTCCCGTAGGGTAAGTTATTATAATCGTCCAAAAATCGAAATTGAAAATTTTTACATTTCCTCACGTTTTGAAAGTTTCTGAACATTTTGGCATACCTCAGAAAAAAATGAATGTGTGTGCGTGTGTGTGTATATGTATGTATGAATACAATTTTTAGGGCGCACGGATCAACCGATTGGAATGGTTCAAAACCCATTCGATTCCTATTGATAGGGAGATGTGCTGATTAGTTTTTGGCAAAGGCAAGTCCAGTCGTTTCGGAGATACTGAGCAAAGAATGCAGAAAATCGAAATCGAGTTTTTGAGAGATCGGAGCATCGAATTTGAATGATCCAAAAAACATTCAATTCGTAATGACGGGGAGAAGTGGTGATTAGTTTTTGGCAAAGGCAGGTCCAGCGGTTTCGGAGATACAAAGCCAAATGTGCAAAAAATTGCAGTTTTTGAGAGAATTAAGCGTCCGATTTGAATGATTCAAAGAACTTTCTACTTGTCTTACCAAAATAATTGCTTTTGGAAAAAAAATCGTTGTTTCTATTTTATTTAAAAAAAATTTTTTTTTCAAAAAATATGTTTTTTTGTGTATCGAAAATAATTCAGATTTTAATTGTAATTCTGACTTAAGTTTTAATATACTTTAAACAAATAATTTCAGCTTTGCAATTCAGTTTATATAATTCTTATAAATATTAGACAATGTTACAGTATGTATTTATAAATCTATTTGAAAACATTTAATATTCCTCGATCATTTCGTTACGGTACGGGAAGTTCCTGCAATTTGCCTTAAGGCATGATGCCATACACACCACTAGTTTTTTATAAGATCAGAGCTGAGACGAGATCTTTTGCTTGGGTTTGCAATTTTGCATTACCCTTCAAATCTTCCGTTCCTCGTTTAGTTTTACTTTTTGGAATCCAATTACCTGAAAGTCAAATATTCAATAAAGGTATTATATAAGCATTAGAATAAGCAGAGAAGCAGCAGATAGAAGAAAATCTTCCACAAGGTAAATGATTATATATGCTTATTTATCTATGATGATTATTATTATATTTTGCGCAGGGCTCTGCTAAAACATGTGTTGTTTTTTGTCAACACTCAACTGGCAAAACAGCTTATTTGATTTAAATCGTTGTAGTAACTAATTTTTCCGCATCGCTACAAAAGGCAGTACGAATGCAAGAAAGTTGACATTCTTACGAGCGATAAATGACGCTTGTTAGAGGTTATGTTTAAACAAATAATTTGCTACCAATTGAGTAACATTCAATGTACAATCAAAACTATAAGCTTTATCAATACATTATTGACATTTATCACACATTTAATAACATATTGCAAGCAAGATGAACATTCATTAATAATAATTACAAAATAAAGACATGAAAATGGCGGATACTGGCAATTGTTTTCCTTTACATCAATGTATTTTCAGTGGAGATATAAGAAAACTTTCAGGATTGCTTTGCATTCATGATGTTGGAAAAAAAGATAAACACGGAAATACGCCCTTACATCTGGCAGTTATGTTAGGCAAAAAGGAATGTGTTCATATATTATTAGCTCATGGTGCACCTGTCAAAGTGAAAAATTTACAAGGATGGAGTCCCCTAGCTGAGGCCATCAGTTATGGTGACAGGCAAACAATATCCTCCTTAGTGAGAAAATTGAGTCAGCAATCACGAGAGCAAATGGATATACGTAGACCAAATTTAGTAGCTGCACTAACAAAGATACAAGATTTTTATATGGAATTAAAATGGGATTTCCAGTCTTGGGTGCCTTTAGTATCTAGGATACTGCCATCTGATATTTGTAAGATACATAAGTCTGGATCAAAAATAAGACTAGACACAACATTAGTAGACTTTTCAGAAATGAAATGGGAAAGGGGGGATATAACTTTTATCTTTCAGGGTGATAAACCTCCAGGCGAATCTTTGACCGTCATAGATAATAAATCTCAAGTCTATCAGAAAGTTAGATATGAAGATTCTGAATTAGATATAGAAGACGAAGTAGATGTGCTTATGTCGAATGACATTATAGCGGCACAGATGTCTACAAAGGTATTACATTTACCCGAGCGCAATCAGGGTGGTTTTTTCG